TCAACCTAGCTGCTGAAACTGGACCACCATCCTTAAATATCTCAGGGGTCAGTCTATCAGGACCTGCAGCTCGACCTCGCTTCAGATTTCCTAACTCTTTCTCAACTTCATTGAGACTAGGGGGACTTACGTCGATTTACCATTCAGGATGACTGGAGATCGTGGGTAACCGAAGAGTGGCTCGAGGCCAGTTGAACTGATCCCTAAAGTGTTCTGCCCATCAATCCAGTCTCCTGGATTGAGAATGGATAATAAGACCATCCTTTTCCGAGATAGTCTCACTTACACTATGATTCCTAATACCAGTTTCCTTGATAAGTCGGAAAAGTTGTCTACTGTTGCCGATCGCCGCTGCCTTTTCCATCGCTTTTGCTCTCGACACTCACCACTGTTCGCGATCGTCACGTAGGCTTCTTATAAGTCTGCGCCTAAGTTGACTTCGTTCTTCATCATATTCAGAGCCAGATGGGATGAGTTTTCGGGCATCCATCAGATCGGTGGATGCTACTGAGATCCACGATTTCATTCTAGCCTTATGGTCAACCTTACTAGCAGATATCACTGCTGTTTCCACGTCCCTTTTGATATCATACCAACCTGCTTCTGAATGGGAATCACTTACATCGTTGCTTATCTCTATTTCTAGTTGCTCCTGAAATATTTTCTTGGTTTGATTATCATTAAGTAAAACCCTAAGAGGCTTCCTTACGGTGTCTTTCCTACGTCCAGTAAGCCTTAAACAGATACGAGCTCGCACTAGAGCATGATCTGAATCCAAACATGTGCCCCAGAACGAGCGACAGTCCTCTATCGAACCCCTCCATCGGTGGCTGATGGCGATGTGATCTAGTTGAGTCCAACGTTGAGACGACTTCGGGGGTCGCCAGGTCAACAGATGCTTTTCCTTATGCCTAAAGTTGGTGTTCGCTAAGAATAGGCGGTTATCTGAGCATAGTTGCAACAGACGGTCACCATTGTCTGTTCTCTCAGTCGCTACAACATAACATCCACCAAGATGTCTTTCCTTTTCACCTAGTCTACCTACTTGAGCATTAAAGTCACCAGCCATTATTACTATATCAGAGCGCCTAACTTTTTGGAGGAGGTCCGAAAGCATTCTGTAAAACTCATCTTTAACCTCGTCTGAACTGCATTCAGTGGGGGCATAGGCAGATATGACGAAGAGGCAACAGCGAGTGTCCCTATCCTTCCGAGTCCTTACTGTCCCGTTTAGTCGGACAGCGCACAAACGACTATCTACTGGGATCCAGTGAAGGAGAGATAATTCTGCCCTATGACTCAATGCTATGCCTACGCCAGCAAGACCCCTGGAAGCAGCATCGAATTTTAGGCTTTTAGAGTAACTAATACCCAGGTCACGCGCTGATATAAGTGTCTGAACCCTACATTTTTGTGAGTAGAGTGGTGTGTCAAGGTGACACTGTTTAGAGTGAGATCTATTTTGGGAGACGATTCCCCAAAACACATTCAGCCACATTCCTCAGTATTAAGTTCTATGTTCCATTGCTTGCCACAGACATCTACAGCATTGAGTTCATTCTGGATTTTATGCAACACATAGCCTAATTCAGATTTGCTATTTTGATAAATCGCTTTTAAGTCATCCGCATAGAGGTAGGTTTTACCAGTGTTGAAATAATTGCTTACGCTGTTGATGTAGATTATGAAAAGCAGTGGACCAAAAACACTGCACTGAAAAACACCACTGTTTATTGGTCAAGGTGTAAATGTATTAGAATTGATTTTGATAATCTGGTATCTATTCGTGAGGAACGACCTAATCCATTGCGACAGGTGGCCATTAATCCCGAAAAACTGAAGTCTGTTGATTAAGAGATTGTGAGGTATCTTAACGAAAGCCGTTTTTATATCAAAATACAACACGATTACTAGCTGCTTTTGATCGCGCATGCTGGTAACCTCATTAAAGAAATCTAACAGAAATGTGATACATGACCTAGTTCTACTAACTGGGTCGATCAACATTGTTCAACTGTAAACTGGTTGATTAGAATGCACTATACTCTCCTGGGCGCAACCTTATCAACACTTACAACTGTGTGAGTTTCACATTGCCTATTATCAATTATACTGTTCTCACTTACACGCTATTGACTTACCTTGGCCCCTTAGTGTTATCTATTGCTCAACTTTTAACCGCGATACTCTTTATATCTCCTGCTTAGCTAGTAAGTACATCTTCCCCACTACATTCAAAATGCTTATATCTTGTTTGAAAATTCTTACTATTTCTCCATAACTGTTAACTGTATAGCATTGATGCCTAACCAATAGTTCATAAGTTGTAATAGCCAGACGAGTTTGTGAAAGGAACTTGCAGAAATAGTGTTTCTCAACAGAATGCGAGACATAGAACACCAAGTAGAACTCAATAGCTTCTTTTAAAAATTTAACATGAGCCTAACAACACAAAAGGAGGGAGGGTGGAGTTACTGACCAGCAAACATTGATGGTGTGGGCGATAACTTCAAACAACCCATGTTTGTGGAGCAGAACATTTTGTTTGCTTTCGGCTCTTTAGATTGATGAGACGACTAATCAGTAATACTGAGGTCGCTCTTATGAAATTGCTACTTCTAAGTTTCATGTTTCCAAAACTATGCTGAGGTCGCTATTCTGTCGAGACACCTGCAACATTCTTACTCAGGCGCTTACAGTATGACTTAGAGGTTGGCATTCAATAATAAAGAAAAAAACAGTTAGACAGTGCGAGATTTTATTCGTCAAATATTTATTTTTACAAACTCTACTCTTTTAACTAGAATTTCGATTTCAACGTACATAAATCCAGCTTCTTACTTCGACTTCTCTTCTATCCACCTGACACTGCACAACTCTCCCTTCTTTTTGCTGTACTCCTTTATCTGTGTGTTATATTCTTATATTCCCATAATTTACTTTAATTTAAGTGGTCAGTATGAATTTTATCTTGACTTACTACTGTATTGACTACTTCAACATGACAGGTTAAGTAGTGCTTTGGTTATATATATACACTTGCCACACTGCTGCCTTTTTCACTCTCCTCCTTTTCAGAACCCCATTCACGGTGGGAAATCCTTGGCTACTCTAGGGAACATGCACCCTAGGTACACGACTGTCTGGATCACAGCTCGTATGAAGCGCGTTCCATATGACCTTACCCAACAAATTCACTAGTGATCTCGATAAATCGCCAAAAGAACCTATTGTGCACCTTAATTATTTGTACTCTACTATTGAAAATGTGGCTGTATTATACTGTTTCTGTCAGTGACATGGTGTAAATATGCAATCAGAAACTGACTCATACTTATTTTAACTGCTATAACTTTACAGTAATTGTGAAAGCATTTGTGACAATTTGATCTAGCCTGTAAACTGGCATGACTCTTGTAACGTAGTTATTAGAGAATAAATTATTATTATTATTATTATTATTATTATTATTATTATTAATGAAGTCATGTTGTGAGGAGTCAATGTGACCTTCCCTGAGTAAGTGATCTGATAGTTGATCTTTTTTCACTTTCGCCATTACGCGTGACATAATTGTGGTGATATTAATCGATATTCCGTTTTGGATTAGGTCTTTAGGTTCAGATTTATGTACTGGGACAATATGAGTCAACCTCCACGATTTGGGATATATACCAGACTCCAGGGATAATGTAAAAATTTTGAGCGAAAGCGCATGTTTCATCCTGCCATTTTAAAATGTATGGAAGGTATCTCATCCGTACCACAGCTGCCAATGGGTTTGAGGGTTTTACTGGCGGCTTGAATATTGCTAAGATCAAATCTAATGGTAGAGAGATTATGCATACTGCTACAGTTAATGTTAGTGTCAGGGGTAAGAGATGTGTTCTGATTTAGAGCGAACCATGTTCTAAACAGTTCACAAATAACAGCTTCGTCATAATAAGTCTGTCCATCATGTATTATAGAATGAATTTTTCGATCTGAGTCCTTTTTTATGCGTTTGTTAAGCAAACGACAGAGGTTTTGCGACTTACACGCGGTATCGGTTGCATTTTTTTCTTCCATTTGCTTGCTCACTTCATGTTGGTTTTTCACACCTTCAAGTATAGCGTGAATTCGGTACAGGATGCTGAAGTTCTTAGACTTGCAATGTGTCCGTTTTAGTTGACGTAGTTTAGCCCTAGCTTTATGGGTGATATAAGCAGTAACTGTTTTGAAAGACGTTTTAAGTGGGATAGTAGTGTCTAATGTTTGCAACAAACCGCTTGTAAGAACTACCCCATCATCAAGATGACGATGAAATGTGTCACTAACGACTGGTCATCAAAGGAGCTTGGTAGTGATATGAAGCAACCGCACCAGCGGCGGGATTCACTATGCATCGTGAACGGCAGTTTGATGTTTGGTGAAAGAGTGGTGTTGTCAAAATCCTTTCGTGCAAAAGTGCTGAGACTGTTCCATCTTGGTCATCCAGGGGTTAAGCCAATGAAGTCCATAGCCAGGAGTTATGCATACGGGCCTCTCAAGGATCGATATATCACAGCATTAGTTTAAAAATGCATGTGCTGACAGCAAGCGGCAAAGATGAAGGCCAAAGTTCAGTGGCCCAAATATGATCATCCTTCGTTCAGGATACATGTCCACTTCGCTGGTCCGATTAATGGAAGTATGTATTTAGTTGTGGTTGACGCCCTCTCATAATGGCCGGAAGTCAACCCCCTAATGCCTCCTACAACAACTAAGATAATACAGCTCCTCACTGAAATCTTTCGATACAGCATACCAGATGTTATCGTATCTGACAATCGGTCTCTATTTACCTCTACCCAATTCCAAACTTTCTGTCAACGGCTAGCCATCAAAGACTAACGCTTGCCATCATACCACTCGTAATCGAATGGGCAGGCAGAAAAGTTTGTGGATGTATTTAAAAGATCATTGGTTAAGTCAGTAGGGGAGGGGAAACCAGCCGACGAGCCACAACATTTCTTGTACGTTTACCGAACAGCACCAAATGAATTATGAATATGTCGAATATCCAACATCTCCATATGAAAATGGAACTCCAGCAACTTCAAGTATATCGATATCACGAATATAACGATCCGATCGCTTGCTGGCTTCTGAATTGGAACGTGTTGAAGACGAACTTTTTTCGTCACATTGTCTTTAGGATTAGAAAAAATCAATGAGTATTGATCATAAATAGTTGATAAAAGTATTTGTAATCCTGTACCGGAAGGCTTATCAATGGATTCTGAGCAGATTCTGTTGTGCTCTATGTTTGAAAGTTTACTATTATCTAATAACCAAGTATCAGGCGTATGAAGAACACTATTTGTGTCAACTAGTTTCAAACTTCTTGAATTTTGAAGATTATCATAACGAATAGAATATTCACAATCAAATTTATAGTCAAGTTCAGAATTAGAGCATGAACTACATTGTATCATATTATTTGACTCTTTATTATGATACATGTATATATCTATGTTAATTACACTGTAGTGGAACTACTTTGTGAAGAAAACATGATTACTGACATATAAATACTTATGATTGAACATGTCTAACAATAACTGTTTTATTGTACACCTTTTGTTTATCTATACTTGAAGTAATAATTCAAGCACCAATCTCGCCAACCTCGCCAACCGTGTGGACTTATTGATCGTCTCGTGCAACCGTTACTTTTACTGGCTGAACACGTGATATTATTTCGATATCACGCGACCTCCTATCAATAAATATCGATATCCTATATCCTGACTTCTGTTTTGGAATACATTTGGGCATTTAGACTTCGCAACCCCAACGTTGGTGAACCCGTTGTTTGCAACGCGCAATTAATTTTGGATATTTTCGCCACAACCCAACCAAACTCGGTGAGTCTGTCAATTTTCTATCCATTTGTCATAATATTTATTCTTTTACCGTAACTTTTCATACTTATATATATAATATACCAGCAACAGCGACTTAATCATAAGTAACAATGGATAGTTTAACTACTTAAGTACTTAAGTCATTTTCACCTTTGTAGTCAGAGTACAATAGCATCTGCAGAAGCTGATTTTTTCTGTGCGGCTTTCTTCCGATGAGTTTCACTTATTCCAAGCACGGTTAGTCTGTATCTTCTCATTTTTGAAGCCATTTACACAGTTCTGAGGCTTTCTCACACTCAGCAACTGTTCCATGTTAGTGTTGAGATAGTCCTTAGAGAAGGCATCGTCCTTGTGATTTCCCTAAGAATCTTGGCTTTCACTATGAGTTGTGATAACACTTCTTCATGAAAACTCTTAAACTCCCAGCCCTTTTTAGCAAGGAATTTTGTGGATGGAGTTGTTAAACTCATATCCAACCCTCCACCTTTATCCAGATTCGAATGTGTTGACCAGTCATTTTTAAGAACAGACATGAAGAGTGCTAACTAGTTGGTTATGATAAGTAATAAATCTGTTTTTATTATTGTATATGATTTACTAACAAGTCACGTGCTTTAATTAATATTTAGGGAGTGAATATGCGCAACACCAAGTTCGAAGTACAATATTAAGTTGAACTATCGATGAACACTGGTTATTATTTTATTACTGTTAAGAAATATATTCTTTGTTGATGTAAACTGGTGGTGCATGGTTGATCAAGAAACGATAATATATATATATATATATATATATATATATATAATATATATTGATTGATTGATGGGGTATTTGTTTTTTAATAAGATGTCATCATAAAATGACACAATCTGAAAAGTATCATAATTCCCGAAGGGACAATAAACATTTATTAAATATAGAATTTCATTTAATGTCTGGCATTCTCAACAAATTAATTGTTACCTTTTCAAGCGGTTGCAATTGAAGTGGAGTGTAGCTTATTGACCAAAATTTTCGTGTAGGTGTTGACATTTAAAAAATGTCTAGTATTTAAATTGATTAATGTTAATTATAATTGAGGGGGTTTCTCAGGATAGCTGTACAATTTTGTGGAGTGATTTTCAACAGATTCTGAAAAATATTTCAGTGATATAGATTCATAAAACTGAATTGAAAATAGAATAACAATCAGACTCGGTTACTTTCTATGTTGTTTTGATGATTTTAGTTTATTGAAGACTATTTCCATAAAAAGTTTCAAAGTTTAGGGTCAGTTTTTCAAATACCATGTCAAGTAGAAGATAACCTTGAAAGCAAAAGAATCAGCAGTATTAACGTTAGCTACATTGTTCTATACGACATCATAGTGGTTTATTATCTTTATTGTCCAAATAACATGAATGTACGTTTTGTATCTTACATTTCATATTACGCGACAACTTGACTAAAAAATGCTTCTTTTGGCATGCATCTATCTTCTTTGTTTGGTACTGCAACTGTTTTTTTGTATTATTTTTTAAACATGACATACTTGTTAATATGAATTAATGTCTAGCTGAATTCAGTGGTTTATGTTTGTTGGCATTCTTCTAGCAATTCTCAAGGTATGTTTTTTGGGAGAATTTATATATTTCTCAAATTTGGCCAAGTTAAACAAATTTTCGCAGTATGTACCACGAAAAGGAGTAAATTTTTTTTGGCCAATGATCTTATTCCAATAAAGCATCAGTGCTTGTTAACTGGTTTCCATGTAGGTGGAAAATTTGTCTACCAGCTAGTGCATGAGTCAAACAACAATCAAAATTATTTTTTATTCAGCAGGTGTTTTTCGGCAGATATATACTTAAATGTTTTGCTGATTATTTTTTTCTGTAAAATATGTGTAGATAGAAATGTTTGCAGATTGATGAAAAATACGTGTAAACTATAAATCATTGAATAGTACTTTTGCGTTTTATATGTAGGCATAAATACAGGTTAATTTGTAGTGGATAAGATTTACTAACTTTAGAAATCGTTTTGAAACTTCTGGATCAGATTTAAAGATTTGCTATGACTGCTCTATAGCTTCATTTCATTAAATTAACGTTACCTTATTTGTATGCAGTGCTGTCAAAAATGTTTAGTGTAATCTGTAATAAAATGTCTGAAAAGAAAACAATCATGGTAAAAAATGTAATTAATGTTTGTTCGGATTATTCGTTTCTTATTTATCCATGTAAACCATATTTGTGAAATAACGTTCTAACTATTCGCTCTATTTTTCTATGTTCATTAATAATGATGATGATACAACCGCTTTTATTGGTAGAATGTACCAGATTTGCTAGAAACCGCACAATTAAAAACAGCACAATTAAAGATGGCAGCTTTTGATTTTAAATGAAGATTCAAAATTAGTTTGACGTTTGAAACTGGGAGATTGATTAATTCTTTTACATAACTAGTAGAGTGTCCCTTGATAGAACTAATTCATTTGCTGTATGATTTAAAGAGGACAAAGATCCAGTAAATAACTACTGGAAGTGATTAAAACAATGTGTAAAACTATGGTCTAGGAGAATACCACCAGTCTCATTTATATTTATATGCTTATTGTAGTATTAGTGAAGATTTTCATGACTAAATGGTTATTTGAATAACTTACATTGTATTCTGCTGAGCTCTCATTTTGTCTTATCTATCTGACTAAAAGCGTGGATGGAAAACACTGAACCTACATCAAACTTGTCAGAAAAATTTGATCAATGCTAAGCACTGGACGTGTTGTCCGTCGCTACACTAATTGGAGACACTAAATATTTTCATTTTACACATGATAAGTGTTGGGGAGCCCGTAAATATCCCTCAATAAAGTCTATAGGGGCTCAGAAACGCAATAAAACCTATCACTCAACCAGCACTGAATAGAACTTTCTCAGAAACATCTAGAAAGTACGGAGTCACGTGTCACTATTTCGACTGAATATTTAGTCATACCACTACCATGTTTATTATGTTTCTCGAACCTTCCAGAAACTTAAGGTCATAAGTGACTCTCTAAATGCTCTCATTACTCTATTCATAGATTAACTTTAGAGTAAAGCGTTCTTCCTGTACTTCGCGTCTTTTATCGTCAGCTTAGGTTGCAGTGTAGATTCAGTTTTGGTTTATTAGAAGCGAATACGAATTGAGATCTTGCGTTCATTTAACAGACTTGTTGAGAAGTCATTCTCCAAATACCTTGATGTCGATGACAGTCAGTTACATACAACGCATAACCTGACATATGTATATCAATTAAAGTTTCCATTCCGTGTTAGCTCAAAGGTAAAATTATCAATACATATACCAGAGTAGCAGAAGTAGCAACATGGGGTCATATGCGTCTGGACCCAACTGGAAGCATCTATTCCTTCAAGATTGCTGGTACAACTTTCTGGTGAGTACCAGCTAACAAGAGGTTTGCTGGTTATCTTCAAACACAGTTCACTGGCATATCAGATTAATTAGACAAGGGGCTCAGTCATTTAATTATCACCAAGGATCAGACAAATAAAGCATCCGTTACCATATAGTGACCGATTACGGTCACTAATTTTATCACCGAAATATGGTCTTTCTGGTTTTCTAACGTGAACAAAGATATTTTAATTATAATTAATAGATTGGCGTAATTATAATCGCTACAATAAGTTTTGGGGGAAAATCTGGTTTCTTGTCAAACAATATCGAGTAAATAGTTGTTGTGTATGCTATAAAATTCATAGTATTTTCCGGTGTTCAAATCTTGTACACATAAAATGTTAAATTGCTTGGTTGAGAGCACTCCGTCAATTTTGTTACTGATGACTTGTTATTGTGTTTCACTCAAATGGTACAAGTTGAATTGAAATTATTTAACATGTAAAATATTCTTTTTATTAAAAATACATTGATTTGTTTAATAACATTTAATTGTCCATTTATCAAATAAACATTCTTTTCATGTCTTTTACTTAATGACAATAAAGAGAAAAGAACAGTAACTGTAGTATTTTTTTCCATACTTATGTTAGACAATGATGATACATTCTTTTCCATTATTTGATGATAAATTTACATATCGGTCACTTTTAATGTATAAATGAACATAAATACATAAACTAAATATTATGTTATTTCTATTGAACACTCATTGACAGATGAAATATTGCTTCATTTCAAATGAAGTGATCAAAAAATATGTACAATTTATTTCAACTGTACACATTGTGTTCCGGTAGAAATGATGTAATGTAATTAATAGTTACCTGGTTTCTTGCCATTTAAAAATTTTGCTTGAAAATTGAAAATAACATGTTTTATTTTGCGAAAGAATGAGTTAGAAAGATTTTAAATTGAACTCTTAATTTTGTCAAAAACATCTTGCCTATTTGAAATTCATTGTTAAGTTCAAGTGTTATTTAAACGAAACGAACATTAGAAATAAAATGTAATTTGAAACAGGAATAAAAGCATGTAAAATAACAAATGAATTATTTTTTGGGAAATTTACATTATTGTGAAAGATTAGCTTAACATTTGAATCACCAATAAATTTTAAAATAGACATAGTTAAATGACTTTATTTGAAT